GAGTGCAGCAAGCCAGGAAGGAGTCAAAGTCCTTGCATTGCCTCCCCACTTCCTCTTGGATGACGCAGGTTTGCCAGAGTCCCATGGTCCAGTTCTCCATCTCATTTAAGTCCAGATTGAGGTTTTTCCAGTGTGGCAGGTAGTTTGTAAGACAGGATAAAACCCATCCCAGCAAAGATAATAAAATTCCAGCTAATTGTACCACAGTTCTAAATATTAAAGCCATCATAAAGTCCTGCGAGCTTTAGCCAAACTAACTCCTGCCTTTCGGTGTCTGTGAAAAGTGTGATACTTGGGTTATCATTTGCAGAACGAAGAAATATTTTTTCATTGTGTGTATAGGAGGATTCTTGGCAGAGTCGCTATTGTTTGATTCCACGTTGAATAGGTTTCAGAAAAGGATAGGGAAATAATTCTGTAAACCAATAATGCCAAGGTGTGGCCAAGATCAATTTTCTAGTTTAATAGTTTGTCCCCAAAATAACATTGAATAGTAATAACCCTCCTTTTATTGTTAATGTCTAAATGGCTTTCATGTTGTTCCCAACCTTTCTTACAACTCAAAAACTTAAGTTTAAATGCACCATGTTTAATTGACAGTTTTGGTTCAACTCCTCCAGCTTTATATCTTACTAATTGGTCCTGTCTGATTTTCATCTGTTATAGTTCTCACATTTTAGTACACATATTGTGATAATACTGAGTGTTATCATTTTTTAAAAAATAGGTTCAAGGAAAGTATTTCTTAACCAAATAAATCAATCTTATCAGAAATCCCTCTAGACCTTAAATCAAGCCTATTTTAAAAAATACATACATAACATATGAAACAATATTGAACTAAATACCAAGTCTGTATACCCACATGCCTTTTTGTCAAATTTATACATGTGTGCATAAACACTTTTTTTTTTTCCTTTGCTTAAATATACTTTCTATGTTGTGGAAAAGTTAAACAATAGAACTTCGTAGGTTAAAATCAAACTCTCGTGATGCACCACTAAAGTATATACATCCTCAAGCTTGTAATTTTTCATCGAACCAAGAAAGTTTTTGTTAGGGCAAATGAACTGTCAATATCTCGTCATGCAAAAATTTTTTTAATTGTTTTATCTTTTTTAAATATGAAGCTTTTGAGGGAAGAGACAAGAGAGGAGACTGGCCAGTATTTTGAATCTGAGAGTATCATGATGTACTAAAAACCTTTAAGCCTCATAAAACCCTGTCACACAGCGTGTGTTGTAATTTCCTAAACACAAACCACCTCTGAGCAAAGAAGATTAAAGTAATCATTGTGGAACTAACACTTTGGACTCGGCTTAACCTTTGGTTTTGCCAGTATAGAATGCTTAAAAGATTTCAGTTTGTTAGTTTTTCTCTTTAGGAAACAAACTAGTTATCATTTCCAGCTACCAACAAAAACAAAAAAGTTCCTAATATAAAATTAACACATTAAAGCTTAATACTACCTCGGACAACCACCACCACATTTTGATTTAAATAACCAGATCAATGAAATTTTGTTGCTCACACCTATGAAATGCTTAACGTAATAATTTTCTTTTAGATATAAGATTGCCTCTTCTCCATAGTTTGGGAGGATTGGAGAACTCTAGGATAGAAAAATAGTTATTAAATGAGAAAATGTGAGCAGCACAGATTTAGTTACATGACAAAGACCCATTTCTCATGTGGACCCCTACGTCAGAGTTGATGCAGAGAATACGTCTCTCTGAGCTTGTCAAAGTTACACGTTCAGATCTGCAGTTCCATTTTCCAGGTATAGACACCGAGTCTGCGTTTCTTCCACCGCGTAGTGGCCGGAAGCTAAAGGAGCATGAGTGGAGCAGGCCACACAGTTGAGCAGACACCCTCCTAGGAGGAGAGAGAACCCAGCAAACCAGCCAGTGAAGAGCGCTTCCCCGAACTCCCACCTGGGCACGATCTCAGGCATGGTCTCATCCCAGAACTCCTGCACTGTCACGTGGGCGACCCATGACACGGGAACCAGGGCTGCGATGCCCGCTGTCCAGAACAGAGTTCCTCCCACGATTAACAGTCGTTTCTTGAGCTCTTGCCGTCTCTCTACG